AAATTTTAATATAATTTTAATCAAATTTTTGTATTAAAATTTTTGAATTTCAACTTAATTAACTAGTTAACTCATCGAATAGTACCTCTTATTTCATTATAAAACTATTGATTAATATTTATTTTAATACAAAAAAATTAGAAGTTACAGATAATGAATTAGAAATTAGACTAATTCTACAACACAATTGAGTTAATTTTGTTAAAATTACTTATATAGATTAGTCCGAAATTTTTAAAAATTTTAAAGAATTTTTTGTATAAAATAAAAAAATGGTATATTTATTTATACCTTTTTTGTTTCCAGCTTGTTAACTTTAATAGCGTTAACCAATCTATCGGACGAAGATTCTCAGGAATTCTCTCAGCATTGTGTCGCATGACATTCAACTCTGATTCTAACATTTGTAAGAGTTTTTCATTCTCAGAATTGGAAAGAAATTCATCGAGCATTTGTTGTACGTCATTTATCACACTGACATTCGTTTGATTGCTTTTCGCGTTGATCGCGATTTGGCAATATGTTTGCACGCGTGTCGCATTATTCCAGTAACGATCGATTTCACGCAATAAAACATTCTCGTGGCTCGACTGCATCAAAATTCTTTTACAAGTCTTTGCTAAGACGAATAAGTGTCTTCTCGTAGTATACATTTTGCAAGTAAAATTCTTCGCAATAATAATCACTGTTGAGTTGTCAAAAATCGTTCAAATAAGTTTCTAACCTATAAAAGTAAAAATTTGAAATTGAAATACACAAGAACTTAAATATGGCTACCAACTAATATGGAATGAAAACCCATCAAGGTAATTGGTACTCTTTGATAAGTACTTGTATCCACACAACAATGCTAGAAATTCCATCCGAGATCTCGGATGGAAAGAGAATTGAATTTGAATTGTATTTGAATTATATTTGAATAATTCGATCAAATGACCAATGCAATTCAATCAATCAAATCAATTCTCTTTGATATCTGCAGGAGTGCGGATTCACTTGTGCGGTCTTGTAAATAAAAATAAAATAAAATAAAATACTTCGAAGTGTTTGATTAATGAATCAGAATAAAAAATTTTACGAATTAACTAATCAAAAAATGCCTCGAAACATTTGTATCATCAGTGGACCGTACCCTTGAATGAAAAGTACCAGATATTCTAGTTTACTTAAATTAATCACAATTGTCAGATGGCAGCACAACAAGAATTCTAGGAAGATCACGACTAGATATGCTATCTTTGCTCCTTCCTCATTTCTTTACAATTCGAAAAATATTTTGAGACGGATGTCGGGACGTACATAATCTTAGTCCAAATAAATTGACGTGGAACGACATAAAGATGGACGTAGATGGATGATATATTCGAGAATGTAATCTAATCATGGAGTATTTTAGTGAAATACTTTTGCTTGGAATTGACACGGTTGTATTCACTATCTGCTTGAAACAGTATATTCACTACAAGAATGCGATTAAAGTAATCAAGGTAGACGGTGTTAAATTATTATTATACAATTATATTAAATTATAATTAAATTATAATTATTAAATTATGTTGATTTAAATTGAAAGTACTTTGAAATTTTTAAGAAAATAAAAAATGTGTATCTTTTATAGAATGTCGAGCTCTACGATGTTGGCGCAGATATTGAAAACCTATTGGATAAGAGTTCGAATAACAAAGTGGATTATGTCGCCGTCAGAGGGATCGTGAAACCGTTAAAAGAATCATTGCAAAGTATTAATAAAAAAGATGTCACTGGAGTGATACAGAAACTTAGTGTCAAAGAACATATTGTTGCAAGAACGTCAGCTGGTTATTGGTACGATGAGATTGCATCTTTGGGACCATTTGCACATACATCATGCTATATAGAAATATTATGTTTTTCGAAGTTATCCAGTTGTCTCAACTTTATAGGTCTGACCAAGAACGAACACTTCAACAGATATATAATACGGTACCGTTTGTTTTGCAAAACAGATGGTATCGTGTAGAAATAATAGATCCCTTATCCGCTGATATCTTAGACTTGGATATAATCTCTGATAATTTTCAATCTAGTGTGCCTACAGTTATAGATCATATATGGGGTTTTTTTACAGGTAATTATGATAGAATAGCCAAGACTTATCTTTTACTATGTAACGTAGACTTATGTATAATCTATTTATAATATAAAGTTGTTCAATTTGTATTTATAAGAACATTCAACAGGAGTGCGTCAACGTGGTATACAGTCTACAGAAAAAATGTTGCGTGAAGATTCAATTATTACAGCAATAGGTGAGCTCTCCAAGTCGAAAACTGAATCCAATTATTTTATTTTGCAACCTCCGTTAAATGGGCCTCCTTTTTATATAACAAGCATGTCAATTACATCCTTGATGCGGAAATTAGATGATCATAAAAAGATATACAGGCACGTAAATTGGAAATAAAATTAAAATATTATTTGTTATGCGATCAAATCTGTATTAAATATTCAATTTTTTGAAACAGGATATTTTGCCTGATGAGTGGTGCACTTGGAATAGTACTTGCAACAATTATGGCGAGACGTTATTGGAAAAATAAGCAGCAACAAAGATTGGCAGAACAATTACGTCAGTCGCTTGAAACATCTCGTCAAGAAAGACGTCAAAGAGTCAGGGACAGAGATCTTAGGGAAGATCAAATATGTGTAGTTTGCAAAACAAACGCACGCGAAATTATTTTATTACCTTGTGGTCATGTATGCATATGCGAAGATTGTTCAGTTAGCATCAATAATAATTGCCCTGTTTGCAGAACACAAATCATTCAAAAAGCAGCAGCGTATATAGTATAAAATTTCATTTTGATACAAGTTTTTTTTATATATCAAAAATATTTCGACGGCATTAAATCAAGTGTGAAAACAATCAATGATTAAATTAAAATAACATTATTTTATATGATTCTGATTTTATCCTTTATGTAATAGACATATAGTCTTCTTTAAAAATCTGACTTCAAGAAAACGACATAATAATATGTATAATAATTATGATAGTCATTAAGAGTATAAAATTGCAAAATTTTCTAGTAATATATGCGTTTGTAATATATCACATTAACTTGATAAACAAAAATATAAATTGTTAATACTTAAAATTATGTACATATGACTTGTTTGGAAATTTATTAAATATTTAAATGTACATATCATAGAATATTTTTTAAAATAATTGAATAAAAATTGAATATGAGATATTTTTTGTAAAGGTATATTTAATGTGCATGTTATATATTTAGAAATAATAAAACTTTTAAAGATCTACATTTTGTTCGTTTCTTCTATCTGTATCCAAACTCATTATTTTTTTAGCTTTATTAGATTTACCGATGCCGAGTTTTGGCAATCCTCTATTTAAACCCTCCAATAGAATACATGCTTTACATATTTCTTGACTCGAAACAAATCCACACCGAGTACAATTTCTTCTCTCTGGCATTTTTACATTATTTTTCACTTGCAATTGCTCACCTATTATATATAATAGATAGTACATTGACTTGATTTTTATAACTTTCAGTTTTATACACACAATAGAAAAGTATTAATATTACAGAATATAATAAGATAATATATTTTTACCTGAATGTATTATGTCTATGATAGATGAAGGTCTTATTTTTTCTAAATCTTTTAGAAAGGCTCGTGCGTGACCTCTATAAGCATTCGGGGCATATATACATTCTGTAGAAAAGTATACTAGATTCTTAAAATATGCATACATGACAATTTCTTTCTCATATGCATATTTCAATGGTTTACAACGCATGATAGAATCTGCACCAGCCTATATACAAATAGATATCAAATATTTTACATAATCATATATGGTATAATTATGTATGCGCAATTAATATATATTCATACAGTGATTACAGATGTACATCTTTGTAGTCGAGCAATATCGCCTCTCAAGACATTCATTAATATTGTTTCTGCAATATCGTCGGCATTATGACCTGTTGCGATGCAATCTACTCCTAAAATTGCAGCTCCTCTGTCCAATGCTTGTCTTCGAAAAACACCGCAAAACGTGCAATTATTTTTACGGCCAATCTAAAATATATATATTCTATTGCGCATGTGTTTCCTAAATTAAAGTTGTATATTTTACCTCTGCAACTATGGAATCCATTGTCCATCCATATAATTCTTTATATGATAAGATTTTAAGTGGAATATCATAATCATCTCTATTTTGCATTACAGTTTTCAGACTATCATCTCTATATCCTAAAACAATAAATTTTGCACAAATAATGCGTCATTACAAAATAATCTTATTAAATCAATAATTTAAATAATTTTAATTAAATTTTTTAAATTATAAAAATTTATTGTAATTTTTATAATTTTTATGTTACCGGTAATTCCTTCATCAACAGATAAAAGAAACAAATCCAATCCATACTTGTATCTTTCATTCAAAGTCTTCAAAATATATGCCAATACAGTAGAGTCTTTACCACCTGATGCTCCAATAGCAACCTTGTCACCAGATTTGAACAATTTACCATTTATAATAGTATCATGAATTTCAGTCTCAAATGCTGAGAAAAAGCAGGCTTTGCACAATGTATCGCCAGTTTTTGGTCTCTAAAAACATAGGTATATTTTTTTAATTGTATTTAACAGATAAACAAAACAAATATATTATACAAATTCTTAAACATACAGTATATAATCGGAAGAATATACCTTTAAAATGGCATCGTTTCCACATCTGGTAGAACACGAAATAGGCATCTTGATCAGTTAATTTTTCTTGAAAAAACTAACAATAAGTTATAAAATCTTGCTCTATGTCAATTTATTTAAATAACACAAGATTACACAAAGGATATATTTGGGATCTATTCGACAAGTTCAAACGTTCAATTTAAATTATGTTGCATATGGTTTTATCACACAGAAAAAATCTGATAATATATGACAAAATCCACTCAAGTTTATTAATGTTCATTGAAACAACTGATTAAATAATCAAAAAATTGAACGGTTCTTCACCGTTCAATTTTTGAAAGCGTTCTTATTATACGGGAAAGTTAGTGGAAGAACGCGCAATTTAATCCTCTGGTTTCTCGGGTGGTGGTCCGCAAGGTTGCAGCATCTTCTCCATAAGATTGAATCTAACCCGTGCCTTAGCTTCGTTTTCGGCGATTGCAAAAAAATTTAACAAATCATAATGACCCATGTAGGAACTGCAGGAATCCCGATGCTGATTCACCAGCCACTCGAACTTGGTCGTGTCCGCGTGTCCCGTACCAATGTACTTGGATTGCAAATGCTCCAATTGACTATGGATGTTGTAGCGTTCGCCCATTTTATCAAACTCGCTACGTGATCTTGGATCTCCTTCGCTGGATTAACGATCACGCCTTTCGTCCGTAATCTTTTGTATCTCTTTCCTTGACTCGCGTTTTCGCAAAATTTTCCTTTCGTTTTAGGTTTGCTGAAACAAAACAACTTTGCGAGTAAAGCTTATTGCACAATACAAAAGCACAGGCAATAGGAACAGGGAATAGGAATAGGCAACAGATTTCGACCAATCAGAAATATCTTCGATATTCTTTCACAGCTTCCTGTTTCCTGGGGGTCAATCATGTTCGACCGTAAGTTCCGGTTTACAATAAGTGATTTAAGCCTTAAGTCATAAGAATCAAGTCATGGATGAATCACAGTCAAAGGATAGAAAAATAATTGACTATGATTGATGATCAATTTCTTATGGATTAAGGTTTAAATTATCTATTATAGACCGGACTAAAGGAATAGCGGACATGTAAACGTTTGAAGGTTTCAGATTCTTGAAAAATTCTGGTAGTTTGATTGGTTGTCAAATTTGAAGCGGTCCAATCGAAACGTTTTACGCATTGGGATAGAAGTTGAGAAATTTTTCTAAATCTCTAGTACTTTTATCGTCCTCACATTGCCTTCAAGAAATTCCTAGCATTTGCCACAGTTGGCCGCGCCGCGACGACACCGCGCGGCTAAGACGTTACGTCACGTAGAAACGACGTGCAAATGGTTAATGGCCTCCATTCGGTCGAGCTTGGCTTTATGAGCGAGCTAGAATCCAATCCAAAGAAATCACATGAGACATGATGCGATCGGCCGGTAGAATGATAAAAATATGATCGCCTGAGCCCTGTACGATCACGATAGAGATTAATTTCCGGCCAGAGGCACCGGTCGTCCGCGAATTATGTGCTGAGATTGCTTTGCACGAAGAGGAACGACGAACGGAACGCGTAACCGTTACGCATTCTCATCGATCCTGCGTGCTGGTTTCGGACCTGATGCGAAGGACGTCGAGGCTCGCCGCGACGTTGCAGGACATATATTGCACGTGAGTACAATTATGACTCTGTCGTCGCGCAATTTTCTGAACGAATCGTCGCGTCGTTGTCTTCGTCGGACTTTTGCTCGGAAAAGGTGACTGGGCGAGTCCGTACGTGTGAGGAGTAATGGCGGCCGTGCTGGCTCGCCCGAAATTACTCCTGGTTCCTCGTTATTCGAATCGATTCCTGATCCTCGTATCCGTGTCCGTTCGTTTGTCGCGGATTATCGTTCGATTTTGATACGAGTGAATGCGATGCGAACTCATTAGCATAACTCGACCGTTCGCTCGTAAGGTAATCGCGTTGTCCTGCTATATATGTATACCGTCAATGTATGATGGTGTGTGTGTGTGTGTGTGTGTGTGGTGTGTGTGTGTGTGCGCGCGCGCGCGTGGTGTGGTGTGTATGTGTGTGTGTGTGCGTGATGTGTGTGTGTGCGCGCGCGCGCGCGCGCTTGGTATGCACGTACGTGTATGGTGTCGGTCGTCGCGCGCGAGTGTCATGCATTTCCATGATGATCAGCCTCGAGAGCTCGAGTGTCGCCGAGGCACGTCGAAACAATAACGTTATTTCCAATCAACGTATTTCCGTTTTCCGTCGGGGTAAGCCAGGAAAGGCGTTCGTTCCTGCTGATATTTTTCCTACCTACTCACGATCTCTGATGATGGCTGATGACAAATACACCGCAATGTAAAATTATCTCTAAGCGCTTTAGAATAGTATTAAACTGTACACATGCATATGTGTGTAGAATTATTTGACCAATAAAAGGAATACACATATATCTGTACAAATATCTTATCAAAACAGTTGTATAGGTCTTCTAATCTTTATTGATATTTATTATGGTGCGCGCGTGTGATATGTGTGTGTATGTATGTGTGAGAAAGTGATAAAAAAATAGAATAAATATATGTAAACATATAGGCAAACCTTATTTAGTTTTATTTAGTTTTATTAATTTAATTAATTTTTTTTATTAAACTTATTTAATTTTATTTACCCATGAAAATATGTTTTTATAATTAACATTACATGTGACATTAATATGTGTAAAATACATATGCTCTTCATAAATGCATATGTGTACACTACTTTAATATTCGCTTTATTTTTTAGTAGGTGACATGCCTAGCAGTCGTGATATTGAACGAGCCGAACGTAATGGGAAATTTCGTTCGCGAAGAAGGGGCAGCACGAGTAGCGACGTGAATCGCCACAGTTTCGATGGTAACGATAAACGACACAGGAGACATGGCAAAAATAAGAGCTCTGGGAAGAAAAAGAAGAAACGTTCGCGTGATAAATCATTAGAGACAGTTCCAACTGTAGCTTCGTCTGTTGTGAAACCATTGGTCGAATATTCGGACGTAAGTAGCGAAGATCTCTCGGAACCCGAAGCGGGAGAAATACAATCGGAGGAGAGTCGCGCCAATAGTTACACAGATGGAGATGTACCTGGATCACTTCTTCCAAGACGGTATTATGGTGGTAGCCCGGCTCGTACTCTTGGAGCGTCGCCCATCAGCCTATCTCCATCACCGTCACTTCAGCATCGACATTCTGGCAGACAATATTCTTTATCAAATGAACAACAACAGACGACGATGCACGGCGCGACACCAGAGTACGAGGAAGAGTCGAGACGGTACGCCCGACGAAAGGAAAAAAAGCATAAACGCGAGAAGAAAAAGAAGAAAAGTTTGAGTCCGTCGTCGAATTCGGGAAAGAAAAAGAAAAGAAAATCTAAGAGACATTCTCATAGCTTGAGTCCTCGCGCTCTTATCGATGAAATTATTCCAAGTCCAAACCACGAGAAACAACCATCAGCAGCCTCTGCCAATTGGTCGGAATCACCACCATTACCATTAAAGGACAACACGTCGCCAATCTCACCGGCTACGCCGCGTGAACAGAGGTGTCCTAGCGACGAAGTTGAGCTGGAGATATCGAGGCAAACATCTCGAAACGTGACACCACCATCTCTTTTGTCAACGCGGCAGATAGAATCGCCGCACACGCCGTTAATGCCTCCATGTGCCACAACGCCGGAAAATTTAAGTAAAGCTGGGTCCATTTCCATGCCGAAGCAGCATCCCAGTCCAGATCGGCAAAAACGTAGTCCCAGTATTCATGTAACACGGCGTGTCAGCGTCAGTCCCGGACCACCCGTCAGTGCAAACCGCAGAAGGCCGCATAGCCCGAGTCCACCATCAAGACGAAGAGATCACAGTCCTCCGTCGCGAAGAAGAGACTTTAGTCCTATTCCAACACTTCACAGACTTAGACACAGTCCCAGTCCGGCTACTGTTAGACGACGAGAGTTTAGTCCAAGTCCTGGCAGTAGTCACAGGCGACGAACCGACAGCGGAGTTGGTGGTTCTCCTAAACGTAGAAGACGAGACGAGTCTGATCGACGTCATCGTCTTCACGATAAGGACAGGAGGGACAAGCGGAAATCAAGATCGACTAGAAGTCCTACTGGAAACAGGTAGGTTCACAAAGAAATCACTTTCTTCATATCGAGAGATAATGTTAATTAATGAACTTGTATCACGTTTGTATAATCATCATTTCTCTATGATTTTAGATTGCATTTGCCTCTATCACGATCGCGATCACGTAGTCCGGGAAGATGGCGAAAGTTGTCTCGCTCGAGATCACGTTCGCGCCCAAGAAGAAGTCGCACTCCAAAGAGATCGCGCTCGCCCAGCAAGTCTCGCAAGACTTTGAGGAAACTCAAGTCGAAGAGTCCGCGTCCTAGAATACCTTCTCCTTCTCCTCACAGATCCCGAGCTAGAAGTCCCTCGAGCATCACTGCCCGAAATCTTCGAGTACAAGCTAAGATTAGCGAAACCAGTCTGTTCGCGGAACTTGTCAAAGACCGAAATATGAGAGAGTTGGCATATAAGAAACTACAGGCCGCTAAGGAGAAAGTCGGGAGTCAAGATGAGGTACAGATTATAGAAAGTACCGATGAGAAAGATGGCGATGGTGGCAGTGTGGCAGCCTCCGAGAATAAAGCTTCCATTGACAATAAGGACAGATCTATAAATCACAAGGAGCAATACGCAAAGATTAGCGATAACGTAGTCGACGTCACTGATATTCCTGTTCCGACGAGCGACGACGGTGCTGTAGCATGCAAAACGCCACCGTTACCACCAATTGGTGCACCACTACCCAATTCGATATCCACTGCGGTAAATCCACTTGCTTCTCATGCGATCGTGCATTCAACCTCGCCCAATCCACCATCGATGATGCCCAACAGTTGTCCGATTGTTGTATCGCACAGTCCGAGTTTCCCAACTTCCGCATCTGGAATACAACCACAACCGCCACCACCGCCGCCACCACCACCACCATTACCACTGCCGCAATCCGCTGAATCTGTGCCGGCAGTCTTGACGCAAGTATCCGCTCCTATACCCATATCGGTACCGCCAATCCCGCCGACACCGATTTTGCCTAACATGTCCGTTCCACCGCCACCCATTCCACCGATTCCCGTCCCAGCTCCCAACACGATAATGTCCAAGTTTAATCCACCCAATAATCTTGTACCACTCAAGTCTGTGGACCCTCCCAAACCTCCTATAGTAACATTTACGACCAAGAGCCTAAAGAGATTACCATTGCCACCTGGCATTAATCAGAATGATTTGGAAAGCATAGACTCTCCGCCGAGTCGTTCTCCCAGTCCTCCCAGTAAAGCGCAGTTGAAGTTTCCAACATCGACAAAACCATTGCAGAAGAAAAGTATCAAGGATCTACCAATGCCACCAGGTGAGTTTTATTTTTAGACAAGTTTTATTTGTATCACTGTTGCTCCATTGCGATGTTAATTTTAACTTGTCATCATTTTACTCCTTGAACCACATAGTCGTACCTGGATCGGAAGATTTAAGCGGAGAAGATGATCCAAACGCAACGCCGCCACGTTTAAAGGTCGAACGAGTGGCACCAAAGCCAAAATTGAAAAGACCGAAAATATTAAAACGCCGAGGATCACGCAATTGCTACGCTCCTATGTCGGCTTCTGATGGCAAGGATTGGGGCGAACGATGTGTCGACGTGTTTGAGTTTATTGCACAAATCGGAGAGGGTACATATGGACAGGTGTATAAGGCACGAGACAAGCGATCTGGTGTAATGGTAGCTTTGAAAAAAGTCCGACTTGAAAATGAGAAGGAAGGCTTTCCTATCACGGCAGTCAGAGAAATAAAGATTCTACGACAGCTCAATCACAAGAACATTGTTAATCTTAGAGAAATCGTTACTGACAAGCAAGACGCGCTGGATTTCCGAAAGGTATCTTTTTAATCGCTACAAATATGTAATCAGCGATATTTTATATTATTATATATTTCTTCTGTTGATATTTTGTTAACAAAAATTAAATAAAATGGTTTCACACGCACCGCACGCGCGCGTACACAAAGAGAGAGAGAGAGAGAGAGAGAGAGAGCGACATGATAATAGGATATTGTATTGTATATTAAAGACGCGCGAGAAAGAAAATGAGCACTCCGTTATATATCAAGTATTATTTATTGCTCGTCTGTCTCGCACGATATTTCTCTCTCTAATTTTAAATTCTGATAAACATTAATAATAGTCTGAAGTCTATAACTTTATACTGGATTTTTACACGCTTTATTAGTTATCTTCTTCATATGTTTTAGGATAAAGGTTCCTTTTATCTAGTTTTTGAATACATGGATCATGACTTGATGGGCCTGCTGGAATCTGGCATGGTAGATTTCAATGAGATGAATAACGCTAGTATTATGAAGCAGTTGTTGGATGGTTTAAATTACTGTCACAGCAAGAATTTTCTGCATCGTGATATCAAGTGTTCAAATATATTGATGAACAACAAGTATATATGATTTTTTGAATAATGTATTCTTTGCAATTATTATATTAATATAATATTTATTATTAATATAATATAATTTTTTAGGGGCGAGGTTAAACTGGCCGATTTTGGATTGGCACGACTTTATAACGCGGATGATAAACAGAGACCGTACACCAATAAAGTGATCACTTTATGGTATAGACCCCCCGAACTTTTGCTAGGAGAAGAACGTTATGGGCCTGCAATTGATGTCTGGAGTTGCGGATGTATCTTGGGAGAATTATTTTCTAAAAAACCTTTATTCCAGGTAATGGTTGCTTGTTAAGCTGAAAAGAAAGTTTAATATTAGTTTGTTATTAATATTTATAATTTTTTAAACTAGGCCAATATAGATGTAATGCAGCTGGAGATGATTTCGAGAGTTTGTGGGACGCCCACTCCTGCTGTTTGGCCTTCTGTGATAAAATTACCACATTGGCATACGCTTAAGCCAAAAAAACAGCATAGAAGACGTCTGAGAGAAGATTTCTCATTTATGCCAGGAGCAGCCTTGGATCTCCTGGATAAAATGTTGGAATTAGATCCTAATAAGCGGATAACGGCGGCTGATGCGCTTAAAAGTGCTTGGTTGAAAAACGTTCAGCCTGAACAGTATGTTATCTTTCTGCGTTTTTTGCATCAGTTATCTATATTGATTATCTATATACGAATACGTATGTACATTACTTCATTAAAATCTTTATAAAATGCATTACACTTCTACGATGTATCAGGATGCCAGCGCCGCAGCTTCCGACTTGGCAAGATTGTCATGAACTCTGGAGTAAAAAACGGAAGCGCTTGTTACGGGAACAGCAAGAGAGTGCTGCAGCAAAGTTGCCTCCTCTCCTTCCCTTTTCGAATAAAGGTCCCAACAAGGATGATTTATCAGACGTCGGGGGGTGAGTAAAGGCGTAAAAAGATTTTATCTAGGAGCTGCTGAGACATATGTCTCGATGCCAAATAAAAACTAATTTGCTTATAAGCGTAGATGGCTGTGTACAACAATTGTGCTTGGCATTTATTTTCTTTAGCAAAATGCATCGTTCAAGTAATGAATTTCTTGAAAGTAAGATGTGACATCGAGAAGAAAATGTTGTAGTAGTATTTCTATGTACTCTTTCCGGTTCTTGTTTGCATGCTGATTTTTCTTCCTTTTAATCTAATGAATCAACGAGTTAATTTTAGTTTCGTTCACAGTCGTTCGAACACGACGATGGCTATAACGCAGAACAATGGAAAATAGAAGCACGAAACACCCTTCTCTGTTCGTGGCTTCGCTCTACAGAAATTGTTTATTCTTAAACAATTGATTTGATAGACTATATGTGAGGTATACTTAAATATATGTATCTTTCAGGGCATACACAAGATGCCTCGGTGACAATATTTCATCATAACGAAATTATGTTATATTACTTAACTCTTTGGCTGCAGCATAGATAACTGCCTTTTTTTAATTGTAAAGTAAAAGAGAAATAGTAATGCAGTACAATTCAATATTATTATTTTTATACTATTCGTACTAAGTGATAGAAAGGAATAATGTAATAAATTAATAGTGAGTATAGTCTCTCTCCTATATAGATTCTTGCTACAAGGTTTCTTATTTCAGCTAAATGATATAAGTGATGATTTAAATTATATGAATATAAGAGAGAGATATGTGTGGCATTTGCAGCTAAAGAGTTAATTAGACTCATATTGAACTATTTGCAAGGATTATAAAAAAATAACTATTATAACTATATTATAGTCCTTTATATAAACTCTTGATAATCGCCACTTGTAACGTACAAACCTCTATATAAACAAAATGTACATCCTATTAATCACTGTGATTCAGTCTACCACTTGTTTCTAAGGACGATTGTAAAAATTAAATTGTGATTTATTCAGTTAGTTTATTCAATAGTGTATATGTGTACATATTCCGTCAATACAAATGTACGAAAAGAAAATGTATATGTATGTGTGTGTGTATGTATGTATGTATGTATGTATGT